ACCTAGATTCAACAATTGTCAATACTCTCCCAAATATGTATTATAAGAAAAATGTTTTAAAATGGAAGAAAATCCAGTAGAAAAGGCAAACCTGATGGTGAACAGGGAAGATCTGCTTAAAAGACCTCAGTGAGTAGGGAAAAGGGATGGGATCTAGTACACAAACTGGAAGGACTGGCTTTTACTCTTAGTGATAAGACAGAAAACTGAGCTTGAATGTAGGTAGTAGGTAGATTAATGTTGTGGTGGATGCTTCTAATTCTCTTAGTGAAATGGCAAGCTGACTGTTCTTGGATAACAGGTGTTAGAGGTTGGAGGTCAGAGGAAGTGATAGTGTCTAGGAGACAAGAAGCTATAGAACGGAAAGTATGACTTTCCACTGTAAGATATTAAGGGCCCACTTAAGGTTGTTGAAAGGACTGACTAAATTGGAGAAACAGTAACCTATTTAGTAACCTATTACTAAATTGGCGTAAAAGGTTAAGGGAATGCACTCTGACACATAGCCTGGGGCAAGTTACTTGACCTTTCCATACCCTAGTTTCCTCATCAGTAAAATGAGGCTAATAATAGGATCTATTTCATAGGGTTGTTGAGGTTTAAATGAGGTTGTATATATAAAGTACACAGAGCAATGTCTGGCATGTAGTAAGTACTATAATCGCTAAATACATTACAATATATAAAAAAAAACCATAGAACATAGTTGGTGTTTAAAAAAGAGGGAGAGAGTTATCAGTATGTAGCAGAGCTGGAGTCAGAGCATGTATTTATTGACCAGTAAAGATGTTTAAAATAAGAGTTAGTGAAAAAGGGCAACACCAGTAGGATTCCATATTTAAAAACAACAACAACAAACCATTGTGTTTAATATTAAAATAATGAATTGTGAAATAATACACAATACACAAAAAATATTAATGGTAAGTCTCTCTTGATGGTAGATTACTGGTGGTTACTTATGTTCACATTTTCAAAATAACTTTTATTTTGAAATTAAGAAAAACTGCAACAAAAAACAATGTAGAGTTCACTCAGTCTCACCATAATCAATCCTGTTAATTTCTTTACACATTTGCCTCCTGTTTTTTTTTAAGTTTATACTTGTAAAAAGGTTATGAAAGTAAAACATAACTGTAGAATCATTTTTATTAAAAGACAATCATAATGTTACAGGTAAAGCTAAAACACTTCTGCTTGACAGCTGCCTCCAACTTGACCCCTTGTGCCATTCCTGGAGACAACCACTATTGAGCTTGGTGTGTGCCTTCTAATCCTTACTTAAAAATACTTTTACATATAAATAATTGTATGACTTTAAAAATCCAATATAAAATATGTTTTGAAAGGGGACATATGTAATACTTTCAACAATAAATAATTATAAATATCAACATTTAAACTTTTTTTGTTATCAAAAGTTTCTTTTAAAGCATCTGTTCTTATTGCATGGATAGAAAAACCTCCTTTTATAGCTGAGAAAACTGACAGTTTTTTGGGGGGAGGGGTATTTCTTTCCTTGCATTGTTTGTTTATTCCTAGTTGCTTTCCCCTCTTCCCCCATTGGTTTGGTCTTTCTCATGGGCATCAGAGACTTTCCCTCTGATGTCTGTGGTGAGCCAGAGATGATTTCAGACTGAGTGAAGGACTAAAAAGCTGTCTGAAAGCTTTAGCATATAGTTGGGCTGTTTTTGAACTTCCCTGTACAGTGATCTAGGTCAGTGGTCAGCAAACTCATTAGTTAACAGAGCCAAAAATCAGCAGTACAACGACTGAAATTTCTTTTGAGAGCCAAATTTTTTGAACTTAAACTATATAGGTAGGTACATTGTTAACTTAATTAGGGTACTCCTAAGGCTTAAGAAGAGCCACACCCAAGGGGCCAAAGAGCCGCATGTGGTTCACGAGCCGCAGTTTACCGACCACGGATCTAGGTGGACTTTCTGAAGTCACCACCTTTGGGTCTTTCCTCTCAGTTGGTAAGATTCTTCACAGAAGACTCTTCCAATGTTTTGTATGAAGGGGAGAGTTTAGCTGCTAGCATTCTGGGAGCTAAATGAAAAGAGAGTGCTGAGGAACTCCCCATTCATTGTTCAGTAAGGAGTCAGCCCTATTTCTAATAAAGTGCCCATTCCATATCCCCAGTCCAGAGATAATTGTTTTTCTCTCTCTAGAGAATAAACTTTCAATCTACTGCCAGGGTAGGGATGGGACAGTCACCCAGTGCACAAAGCAGATGAGATTTTGAGAAGTTTTCCAGATAGGCCTTTTCATTTATGTCCTCTCCCTCCTCCAGAAATATCTGGCACTGCCAATTCTTGAGACTTTTGAGGATGCTGTGGTTAAATCAGGTTAGTTTTCATTTCTCCATGGCCAACTAATGATTTAGCTTTTTTATTAAGTCCATGATTATTTCTCCATTTGTTTTCTAGCTTATAAAATGTTGTTGCTATTATTTCCTTTCTCTGTTATCTCCAACCTTATATGTTTATGCTTAAAAAAGAATCCTTTATTATAGTTGCAGTGGAGTTTCAAAAGATAGCATAAATCTGTCATCTTATCTGAAACCCACATAGCTACTTTATTTATTCTGTTTTTAACTTCATTGTGGTAAACTACAGGGTACCCCCCCTCAAATGTATACACACTTTAACAGCTGATAGCTCAATTTTGAAAATGAAATATGTATTAATAAACTCTCCTTTATAATTATTCAGTGTGTGTATACATTTTTTGGGACACTATATCTATACCTAGATATAGATATATGTGTATATATCTATATATATGCCATAAAACTTCCCATTTTAACAATTTTTACGTGTACAATTCAGTGACATTAAGTACACTAGCAATGTTGTGCACCCACCACCATCTATCAAAAATTTTTTATTATCCCAAACTTCATTTCTGTTTTCTTTAATTTCTTTCAGCAGTGTTTTATATTTTTTAGAGTACAATCTTTTATCTCCTTGGTAAAACTTATTCCTAGGTATTTTATTCTTTTGGATACACTGGAAATGGAGATTTTTTTCTTTTTAATTAACTAATTTTTAAAAAACTAAATTTATTGAGGTAACAATGGCTAATCACATTATATAAATTTCAGGTGTATGATTTTATAATATGACATCTGTACACTCTATTGTGTGCTCACCATTCAATATCTAGTCTCCTTCCATCACCTTGTATTTGACCCCCTTTGCCGTCCTCATCCTCCTTCCCACCTCTATTCCCCTCTGGTAAACGCCACACATAGAGCCATGTTCTACATTCATAGCCAGGTATACTCATTATATATTGATTGCTACTTAAAATGCCAGCAAAGTATTTCAGAGTAGATAAACAGACTTCAAGGGTTTACACTTACAGATCCCAAACTGAAAGCAATGGAAAAATATTGCTCCATTCACCGACTATTCCCCAGACTACAGAACTATTCCAATTTGATAGTGTTCTTCTCTACTGTCATTTCTTGTCTTAATCAATACTGGCATTTGACTGCCCCATCACTGTTTCTAAAAATAATTTTCATTACTATTCTTTGCTGCCTCTGTTTATAGCAAAAGCCTTTTCCCCTCTGATATCCTTTTATTACTTTGTGGACTATTTTTCCTTTCCTTGACATTTCTCAATTTCGGCATGAGAAGGATTTGGGTTCTTTTTTCTAAAAGGTGACCTTAACAATAATACTCAGTTAATCCTTTTTAATTTTTTATTTCACAGATATATACTGAGTACCTATCATAGGCCAGGCCCTGTTCTAGGCATTAGGGATAAAACAATGAACAAAACAAAGCCCCTGCTCTCATACAGCTTCTATTCTAGTGGGAGTGTCAGACAATAAAACAAATATGTCATATGGAGTTGGGTGTTAAAAATACAAAAACAAAGATGGGGTACAGAGAGTGACAGGTGGGGTAGGAATATTAGTTAGTTATATAAGGCAGTGATTTTCAACCGTTTTCATCTTATGGCACACATAAACTAATTACTAAAAATTCTCAGCACACCAAAAAATATATTTTTTGCAATCTGACAAAAACAAAGGTATAACTTTGATTTATTCACACTGAATGGCTATTGTGTTGACTGAACTTTTCTTACTTGACAATCTAAAGGAAAAGAGGTCAGTGCATGTTTTGGTATTGCATGTTTTAAATCTCTTGCAGCTCACTGGTTGAAAATCGGCTCACTGGTTGAAAATCGCTGATATAAGGTGATCAGAGAAGGCTTTTATTAAAAGGCGACATTTGAAGAGAGACATGGGGAGCAAGCTCCATGGATATTTGTGGCATGAGTATACCAAAGAGAAAATAACAAGTACAAAGGCCCTGAGGAGGGCATGTGCTTGGAGCAGGGGGGTGGAAGTGGAGGGTGGGGAGTAAGCTTTGTCTCTCTCACAATGTTTACTATATTTGCTATGATTTACTCTTAAAAAATTTTAATATAACCTTTCAGATTTGAACAGATTCAAATTCTGGCCTATGGTAAATTTTATAAAGTTACTTTTATCTTTTAAATTACAGAGCATAATTCAGTGGATATGAACAACTCAACTTGAAATCCTCACAAAGGACCAGAATATAGATTTTCATTTTACTTTATTGTATGCAAATGAAAATATGGGAACTTGGAGAAAATAATTTGAAAGAATAACTAACAATTATTTTATATTCTTCTATAACTGCTAATGATTTTTAGTGGTCTTTTGCTCGCCTTTTTATTTTCTGAACCATTATTGCTTAGCTAAATCACTGCATGCAGAACATAAATTTGCAGTCACATATTTATTATTAAATACTTTGTATGTTTTGAAGACTGTAAAACAGACTATTTTATTTCTTAGTATCATATTGCAAGCCATTAGTTAAAAGTGTCTATATGTTGTTAGACAGTAATTTAAAAAACAATCCAAAAGATTATCAGCTGAAATCTTTAAAACACCCTCAATGGTCTTCAAAAGTAATTTACAAGAGATTTAACAGAATGGAACTTACTCCATGCCCTGTGCAGTCTGCCGTGCAATATCTATAAGTTTGATCATCTCAAATTTGGTCTCAATGATGTGGAGATGGTGATATAAGCTGGAGCCCTCACACCACTGGGTAACAATAGCCAGTTGTGGCTTTGTTGAATAGCCCATGAAGAGTAGAATATTTACATGTCGAGTTTTCCTATAAAAAGAAATGTGAAAGTAAACACTAAATGTTGATAAACTTCAGCAAATCTTTAAAAAAGGCCAAAGAAGTCTACTTATCAGTAAGATTTTGTCAGAAAAAGGTATTTTGAAAAAGGCAAAAGGAAAAATTTAGAAGAGACTTTAGTAATTGTCTAGTTTAACATTCTACTCTTTTCAGAAATATCTTTTTAAATATACTAAACAGGCAACTAGACGTTGCTTAAATACCTTCAATTATGGAAAGTTCATCACTATTTCTCCCCCCCCCCCTTTTTTTTAAGTGGTTCTAGTTTTAGATTTTTTGGTTAAGAAAGAATCATTTTCCTACGACTTCCCCACTGGCTTCCCTGTTCTGCTCTCTGGACTAAGAGTCTTTACTCTATGGAACATAAGAGCTTTCTATGGACCCAATATCCTCAGTTCTGTTGATTACTTTGCCCCCCCTGCAGTTCTAGAATCGCCCCCATTTAGTTGTCCTTGCCTACATACTGCAGTTTGTTAATGCTCCTCAATTTCCAGGGCATGACGTAATATCTAAATGTGTTCTGGTAAGATTAGAATCTTGGGAGTATTATTTACATAAGTGGAAGTATTATTTCTCATAATCAGAATACTACATTAATCCACTCTAAGCTTAATTCTCCGATCAACTGTACAATATAATATTGCATAACAGTTAAAAGAATATGGTTAAAGTTAAAATCTACTCAAACTCTTTTTATCCATTTTGAGTAAGTATAGCAAACAGTGGCAACCACTGGAAAACAGGAGTGAAAGAAGATACTGTCTCTGGAAAACAATAGTTCATACTAACTCACCTGAGTACTCCTACTTCATTCTTGAAGGCCTGTAACTGCTGAGGTGTAGGTGCTGTCACATTCAACATTTTCACTGCCACATCACCTAAAAGGTAATTGTCAATCCAAATGTCAATCTATTTTTTAAGATTTAAAAATATTAAAAACTCTTGTGTATTTTCATGAATTACCACAGCCTTAAATTCACACCATTATTAAACTGCTTTATGATGTAACTTATAAAATAAATTATATCATACCTTCCTTAATTGCATTAATTTTCTAAGGATAACACTAAACCAACAATAATACTCTTATACTGATATTTCAAAATACCAATCCAAAAAAGATAGCCAACCTTGTTTTTCATCTGGAAATTTAATTTAACCAGTTAAGTACCCATGGTATTTTCCAGGTTACTTAACAATATTAAATTAGACACATGTACTGACTAAATGTTAAAACTAAAAATCACAGGTCAAATGGAGCTAGGCTGAAATAGAAAACTACAAAACTTCTTTATTAGAGTACCTAACATTTTTTTCAAATCTACAGATCACTTGTTGCTTTGCTTAGGAAAGTTATTTTTTAAAAAAACTTTGCCCTAGCCAGTTTGGCTCGGTGGACAGAGCGTCAGCCTGCGGACTGAAGGGTCCCAGGTTCGATTCTGGTCAAGGGCATGTACCTTGGTTGCAGGCACATCTCCAGTAGGGGGTGTGCAGGAGGCAGCTGATCGATGTTTCTCTCTCATCGATGTTTCTAACTCTCTATCTCTCTCCTTTCCTCCCTGTAAAAAATCAATAAAATATATTTTAAAAAAACAAAAAACAAAAAAACTTTATGTGAAACAGGTAGAACTCACACACACTGCCAGTGGGTGTGTAAATTGGTATAACCACTTGAAACACTGCTGGCAGTATCTACTAAAACTGAATATATGCATATACAGTGGCCCCATAATTCTTTTCTAGATATATAGCCAGCAAAAATGGACAAATATGCTCATCAAATGACATGACTGAACTAAGAATGTTCACAGCAGCAGCATTTGCAATAGGCCCAAACTGGAAACTATTAAAATTCTCATTACATAGTAGATAGAAAAAGGAATCGTTTTATAGATCATGAATGATCTACAATTACACACAACAATGCAGATGAATCTTATAAACAATGTTGAGTGAAAGGGGTGAGTCACAAAAGAATACATACTGTTAGATTTCTGCTAAAACCAAGATAGTGGTTGCCCTTGGGGGAAGGAGGACATGAGGAGGACTTCTACAATGCTGGTAATGTTCTGTTTATTGACTACAGATGTATTTACTTTGTGATATTTCAGCTACTTGAACACTTACATGCACTTTTATGTATATTATACTTCAGTGTAATTAAATTAACTTATTTTTCCTGATTATCAAAGTTATATAGTGCTTACAGTAAAAAAATTAAACATTTTGAAGAAATAAAGAAAAAATATTTCCCATAATCATATCACACACATAAATGAACATTATTATTTTGTTTTTAAATATATATTTTATTGATTTTTTACAGAGAGGAAGGGAGAGGGATAGAGAGTTAGAAACATCGATGAGAGAGAAACATTGATCAGCTGCCTCTTGCACACCCCCCACTGGTGA